CTGGCAACAGAACATTTTCTGCAAATTAGTTAAATTCCACTACTTGGATGTGGTGACTAATATTTCTGTTGTGTTATGGCATATGCATCGCCAAGCTTCTCATATTGTTTTATAACAAGCTGTGAGACAAATTAAATATTTCCTCTACTCCATTTGCAGATTTATTTACCTTTACTTGCAGGTCTATGAATGTGAGCTAATGAATAATAGAATAATCCCCTCAACCCTTTGCATTGGATTAATGGGAGGGGATGAGCAATGCTTCAAGAACAGTTCTGTATAAGCATAGCCCTTCCATGCGGAAATGGCGGAGGGGAGTGTAAATTGTTAAAATGATATAGCATATATAAAATATGTGGCGATTTCCAACACTACTATTTGGGCCTGACACAAACATTGGAAATATTGGGCACTGTCAGATGAAAAGCTGCACTTGGATTTAGAGACACTAGTTGTCAGATGACAATGATACGGGAGGTTTATCTTTGAACAAAACATCAAATATATTCCTGATGCGAAGCCTGAATCATAAGAAAAATATTATTTTGTGCATCTATCCACCGCCCCCCCACAATCACCCTTTTGGCTATCCTGTATTCACTGCACCTTTAAAGGTCAATCTAAGCACCATAATGTGGAAACATCTGTGCCACTATAAGAACGTCCACGTGTCAAGCAGGTAACCAGTACAGGTGTATACTGAGAGACTTGATTGTTTAATAAAGAAGCATTATTGTCTGGTCAAAATTAAAACATTGGAAAGTTTTTGTAAGCAAGAATGGATTTGATGTCATCTAAATTGTTACATGTATTGCAATAATTGCATTGTATATGCATCGTAACCTCTGTATATTTTTATGTAGCATATATGTAATAATACCACTTGATTAGATACATTTCCTTTTCGGTTATTAAAAGATATTCTGGATTAAATTCATTCTGTTCCAGGATAATGATTCTTCTTTCTGCAAATAAGAGTGAGCACAACACAAATCTCATTGCTCCATATATGAAGTCTAGCACCATGTTTCCATTTGCCTGTACCTGATGGATTACAGATTATAGGTCACTTTATGATGGTTTTGTGCTGCAGTCATTTCCGTCTCCATTCTTTTTTTAGTGGCCTATTAATTCTGTTTTCCTCCTAGCTGTAAATGGTGCTGTTTATTCGGATTCCAGTGCTTCTGTTATAGAGCTATTATTTCAGCTGACAGTTTTCCTGTGGCATTACCCGTCTATATTGCAGACATATTACCAAAGTGAGATTGGTTCATTGAAATCATAATCACAGACGTGGCCCTTTTTATTTTCTGTAGCAATAGTCTGACTGAAAAATAATGTTTTGGTCGCTTGGGTTTGTTTGGGGTTTGTTTATCAGTGGGTACCCATGTATTTAGCATTGCATACAGGAAGTGTAAAATACAGTTCACCATAGCAAAAAATGAACTGCAGTGAGGGAAAAAAGTATTTGGTCCCCTGCTGATTTTGAACTTTTTCCCACTGACAATGAAATGATCAGTATATCATTTAATGGTAGGTGTATTTTAACAGTGAGAGACAGAATAACAAACAAACAAAAAAAAAATCAAGAAAAACGCATGTCAAAAAAGTTATAAATTGATTTGCATGTCAAAGAGTAAAATGAGTATTTGAGTTCTGACGTTTGGCAGCTTGAACCTTCAGCTCCCTCCACAGATTTTCTATGGGATTAAGGTCTGGAGACTGGCTAGGCCACTCCAGGACCTTAATGTGCTTCTTCTTGAGCCATTCCTTTGTTGCCTTGACTGTGTGTCTTGGGTCATTGTTATGCTGGAATACCCATCCACGACCCATTTTCAATGCCCTGGCTGAGGGAAGGAGGTTCTCACCCAAGATTTGATAGTACATGGCCCAGTCCATCATCCCTTTCATGCGGTGCAGTTGTCCAGTCCCCTTAGCAGAAAAACAACCCCAAAGCATAATGTTTCCACCTCCATGTTTGATGGTGTGGATTGTGTTTCTTGAGCAGGGGGACCTTGCGGATGCTGCAGCATTTCAGTCCTTCACAGCCTAATGTGTTACCAATTGTTTTCTTGGTGACTATGGTCCCAGCTGTCTTGAGATCATAAACAAGATCCTCCTGTGTAGTTCTGGGCTGATTCCTCACCGTTATCATGATCATTGAAACTCCACGAGGTGAGATCTTGCATGTAACACCAGACCGAGGGAGACAGACAGTTATTTCGTGTTTCTTCCATTTGTGAATAATCGCACCAACTGTTGTCACTTTCTCACCAAGCTGCTTGACGATGGTCTTGTAGCCCATTCCAGCCTTGTGTAAGTCTAGCATTTGGTTATGACTTGTGTAAGTCTTGCATTTGGTTATAACCAGTTGCCCATTCTGCCACTGAGCTCTACAGCAATACTACTTGTCGTGATGTCAATTGGGTATTGTGGGTTTGCTCAACAACTATACTCCTAGAACTTGTAGTGATGCATGGTTAACCTTCCTTCTATGTGTAAATCATATTCTTTATAAAATGATCAATAGGTCAAAAACAACCTGGACAGTTCTGCTCTAGTCCACACCTTTCAGTCTCACCTATTTACAGTAAATAGAAAGTATTCATTCTTAGATGTATGTTTTAGGCCACCAGATTGCTTTGCCAGAATAATATTTGGTATTGAAACGGCTTCACATTTTTATTTATGCCTTTTTGTGAACATTGATATGGCATGTTTAAAAAAAAAAAAAAAAAATCTTATTTAATTTCTTTGTTTTGTGTCTGAATTATATTTTCTTATCTCTGCAGGAGCAGCCAAGGATTTATGCACATGAAACTGTCGAAAACCAAAGAAAAGTACATACTGGGTCAGAACAGCCCTCCTTTTGACAGCGTCCCTGAAGTTATTCATTTCTACACCACCAGAAAACTTCCAATCAAGGGGGCCGAACATTTATCACTCCTGTACCCAGTAGCTGTGCGGACCCTGTAGAGTGCCAAAAGACTTGTTTGCCCCCTTCCTATGGATAGGGGTCTGTGAAGAATCATTTTTATCAGTACAGCAGGGGGCTATTCAAGCACTGAAGAGGAACGTGATTTAGAGAATGGAAACGCTGGTTGTATCGCACTCAGTATATGTACGATATTGCACTATGGCATTCACACTGTACAGTACTTCTTTGATGAGGAGGACTTGTGAAAAGTAAAAGCGTAGCTAGCGTTTGTGGTTAGAACCCAAACCAGCTCTGGCAGTTGAAAGGACTTCTTGAAAAATGCAATGCTTGTTTGGGCGAATAAAGTTAAACCTGCACAGAAAATAAATGTTACAGTGTGAAACTACATATTTATTATTATTTTTTTGCACAAAACAATTGTTTGGAGCTTTTATTATTCTGTCTGTACATTTGTTAAAGAATCGGTTGTTTCTCAGCTAGCTCCACAAATACCTACAACAGATGTCTACAACTATGTCCTCTCTTGTTTAACATGGCTTCTGTGGCAACATTTATGTTGTAATGTGCACTTTTTTTCCCACAAGGATTTACTGATCTTCCTCAAACAAGCAATGTATATTTTCATCATATAGAAAGAGAAATGTTTCATTAAAATATGGATGAAGGTTTCTCACTTTGTTCTTGTGCATGAAACATTGATGGCTTCAGATTCTTACCATCATTCAATAAATATCATCCATGCATATTCTGCGGTACCTGTGAAAGTCGGCACATGGCGGCTGAGCTGCTCTGACACTATACCCACTAATATACGTCTGTTGGAGCAATAACATATCGTTTTGGGGTTTGTGTTTTTTTTACACTTGCGTTATCCTAATTTGTCAGTGCGCAGTAGCAAGTTATGGTTTAATTATTTATGAATAGGATATGTAAATAAAGAAATAGCAGTTTAATATATAAGTATATTTTTGACCCCTTTTTGGTACAAGGAATGAACGGTTGTGCACCTTCTTACAGTCCAAGACCTACGAAGTTAAAATTGACCATGTTTTGTGTTAGTACAGTGTGACTGTTCTGTTGTGGGAAAGAGTTACTCGAATGTCAATAGGTTTAAATAAAAAAATAGATTAAAAAAAATCAATAAAAAAAATCAGGGTGTTGTTGGTTTTAACAATTTTGCTTGTGAAGCCTGTTTAGTTTTTCTTTTTTGTTTCCAAATAGCATACATAAAAAAATGACAGTATTAGGGTTTCAACCATCTTATCTCTAATAAAATTGATCTTCGGCATGTCTCGGTGAATCTTCTTATATGCTGTTATAAAATCATTTTCTGACATTTTCTACCATGATGTAGTATCTGCTTTGTGGGATAAGCATTTGTCTGTGATCTAGCAAGTATGAAGGTAAATCTTAAAAAAGGATAGCACTCTTAGAATTATCTGTAGAAAAAAAGAATCTTAATTGATATTTAAAGCAATGGTTTATTCACTTATTAATGCAGACGCTATTCACTTTTGATTTTAAATTTGTGCTTCATTACCCCTGTATTCTAATGCAAATTGGAATCTTATTTGCAAAGAACTTACCCTAAGAGGTCAGGCTTGAAAAAATGTACAAGTGTCCTGATGTGAATGAAAGAAAATTAGAAATCCCCATTGCGTGGAAGCAGCACTGTCTGACATCTGACATTTAATTACAAGCCTCTCCTGCAAGACTCCCAAATTATACCACTTCAGTGATTTCTATAGCCTTAACTGACAGGGACTGTTCAGTGTTACAGTCTTAAACCATCAAGAAAGGCAATCTCAAAGCCGTCCAGCTTGTAACAGCGGGTACATTTATGGACTATGCAAAGATCTTTAGGTGTTATCCGAGAACAACAACTCTTGAAAGTCCAATTTATAGCCGATTTTTTTTTTTTTTACAAATCTAACCCAATGTTTAATTTAACATGCTTTAAAATAACAATCTCCTATAATTCTGCATGGACAGATTTAAGAATGTAAAAATTGTGTTTTGAAGCTATCATTTTATTTTATTATCTTCAAATAGCCGAGCAGCACTTGCTCTCTTTTATTTATTTTTTAATATCATATAGCGGGAAACCATTTACCATATATTAGAAAACAGTAAAATGTTCCTTTATAATAAACCTCTTAACTGTTTGCAAAAATGCAGCTTTCTATGTTGAACGTCACTGAAAGCATTGTGGAATTTTCATGTAAGTACATGTTAAATGCTTTTTATTCTTTCTTTTAAGGACCACTTTACTTACCAATTTTAGCCTTTTTCTGGATTGAAGAAAGTGCTAATCTTTGCTTAGGGGCAGGGTATTGTTGCTGACAGTACCAATCCCAGAAAGCTTTTGCGATTGTTTACATTCATTACTATATGTAATTTGTAATTCATTTTTTTTTCTTTTTAGGCAATCCTATTTATAGTTTTGAAAAATGGTGGAAAAAGCAAAAAGAAAACACATTTAATCCAAATATGTTAAATGTTTTTTGTTTTTTTTTATTAAATAAAAACAAAATAACCTTTATAGCCCCTTAATGATTGAATTTAGTATTCAAAGTGTACAACTCAGAGGCATAAAAGATACAAGTAGAACTAGAATAATAACTTGAAGGTAAGCAGAAAAAATGTCCAGTGCATAAAATTATCATCATACGGGATCAACGCATTTCACGTTCCAGAAGCTCTAGCTGTTTTCCAGACTATGCTTTTCTATATATCTGAAATTGTGATTTGTATTTGTAATGATCTGTCCCAGCCTAGCACCTTAAAAGTACTAATCTTGTATACGATTAGCAGCTTAGCTATTGTTTATGTTGCTCTTGTAGGAGCTTAGTATTTTGGTATGGTCTAGATGGTATAGCAAAAAATTTAAAGAACACTACACTCACCAGGCTACCACGGTGCACCAGATCCAAGGCAGGTCAGACACCACATCAAATACCATAGAATAAAGTGATGGTCCAGGCAATCAAGTCAAATGACAAAGACCCAGTCGGGTCGAAACATTGCTCAGTGTTTTCTCCAATAGAGCTGCTGTTTTGCTATTTACTTGAGTGCCTGGACCATCACTTTATTCTATATGGTTTAGCAGGCCTCCACAGTAATAATAGTAGTAATGTGTTTCTAAACTGCAAAAAAAAAAAGCATATTTAGAAATCAGCCTGTGTAAATAAAACAAATTGTTCTTGTTATAAATTACATTTTAGTTACATAAATTATTTGTAAGTCACCTAAACGTTCTCAGAACAGCCCGTCTCTGGCCACACCCTCACTCATTTGAATTATTTTAAGTTAATAGTTTACACAATAAGTGTGCTGTAGGTAGCCCAACAGGATCAATGAATCAGGGAGTGGTCAAAATTAAAAAAACTCTGCAATTTTTTCAAGGCACATTAAAACAATGTAATGCAAAATCTAAATGTTTGCTTGTTTCATTTCCAAATCCAACAATGTCAATGTTGCATTCATTTTAGCTTAAAGGGACACTACAGTCACCCAAATCACTCCATCTCAGTTTGAGAAACTGCAATGTTGATATTGCAGGGTCAAGACTGCCTCTAGTGGCCTCTGATACAGCCACTAGAGGTGCTTCCTGCATTTACGAAGAGTGTAACTTCACAAAATGTTACATAGAGACGTCCAGCGTCTTCAAAAGCTTCTTCAAAGTGCTGCGCATGCCTTTCCCCTTGGAAAACATTGATTCAATGAAAGCATTGATTCCCCAGAGACGGAGTCAGTGCCGAGGGACTTTGGCACTGGAAAGAGGCAGGTGTAAAATAGTCTTATGACTGAGGGACACTATAGCACTAGGAACACACTTTTGTATTCCTAATACTACAGTGCTCCTTTAACCCCTTAAAGGCCGTGGACGTATCAGGTACGTCCGACAAAAAAAAGGTCCTTAAAGACAGCGGACGTACCTGATATGTCCGCGGCGAATTCAGGCGCTGGAAGACGCTCTAACGGTATTGCAGCGATGCCTCGATGTTAAGGCATCGTGCAATACCCCCATTCACTGCCGTTCACCCAGGTGATCACACCCCCGGAGAACAATAGAATTGCGACTTTCCTGGTGCCTTGGTATCTGTACCTGAGCAGATCATTTAACAAGTGGACAGACACCTTTGCACCTGGGCACAAAATACAACATAACTTGGGATCCTTTGCCCCCATCCCCTCACAACTAGTGTATCCAGCAAGCTTGAGCAACCACTCTGTCCAAAAAGTGGCTAGCCAATTTTAGATCGAAGTCCAAGTTTCAGTGGGTCGTGGCTAGCCCCCAATCTGGCGCAGAGTTCCATGGTGCTAGGTGGAAATTCATGGGCACCCAAAACAACAGCGCTTTCTGTAATCCAAAGTAGCTCCTCCAAGTTCAGGGTATCATTGGATGCCTCACCCCTTACATCTCATATTACTTTAATTTGTAGTGTTATAGAGATAGAGATTAACCCAGCACATATGTCACCAAGAATAAAATTGTCCCACCTTTTTCAATAATGGAATATTCATTTTACCTTGATTTTCTCAAGCCCTATGTTATTCCGGTCTTGCACCAGGGAACAAAGATCTTGATTTAATAATTTCACCTGATTCCAGCAACGATGTCCCTTGGTGCTGGGTCGGCGCTCCGGCTCCTCCGACATTATTCGATATGTGGGCTAATGCTCATGTGAGGCAAGTGTCTCAAGCGTATTAGGCCCTCTCGTAGGAAAGCATTGAATAAATGCTTTCCCTATAGGAATTTTACTGACGCTGGATGTTTTCATGCAGGGAGTTGGAACATTCCGTGTCAGCTAGATGGCCAAAGGTCCGTTAGCAACTAGGAAGTGCCTCTAGTGACTGTCTACTTGGCAGCCACTAGAGGCAGTCTTAGTGCTGCAATGTAAACACAGGGAAATAATTCTTAAAGAGATACTTTAAACACCAAAACAACTTGAGCTTACTAATGCAGTTTTAGTATATAGATCATGCCCCTGCATTCTTACTGCTCAATTCTCTGCCATTTGAGACAGCAGGTTCATGATCTACACAACACAACCAGTTAATTAAGTTGTTTTGGTGCTTAAAGTGTCCATTTAAATACTTAGTTTAACATGTGTGCCCTGCTCTGACTTCTACAAGCTGCTGTTGTGCTAATACAACTCTGCTAAATTTTAACATGATGCACTCATAGAAACAGCAAATTACAGTACGCTTTATTGCGTGGGAAGTCTGTGATGTTCTGATTCATACACACAAACTACCTAGCAATTACAGGCTACATTTTTGCTGGTACAAAACTTAATGTCTAATGACTGGTAATCAACAGATCCTGAAAATTCTAACATCTCATATAGAGATTAGTAGACATCCTAGAAAAAGACCACCTTGGGAGGAAGAATTGAAGGGATATTAGAACCAACGACAGAATATTACTTTTAAATAGCAAGATCAAGCAGGTGTCACTGTCTGCATAATAGGACATATTTCTAAAAAAGGATTTTGTGAAGGTGCTTAAGAACTATTATTATCCTCATCTTTATAAATTATATAACATGTTCTAGGATAATTATGGTGTCAAAATCTCCTATAGCCCGCGATAAATAATTAAATCTACAGGCCTACTTTAAATTTATGCAGATGTTCATTTTAACCTAGCAATATGTATTTTTTTCTATTACAAGTATATCTTATGATATAGGAAACTGACTAGGGAAATGTAAATTTTAAAGCATATTAGATGTGCTAAAAACATAGCTGTGTTGGAAAATGATCATAATTTATCTATTTTGGCATCAAATGTGTAATTCTTTCTATAAAGTCACAATTTAATGAATAACCCTCCGAGTGACTCAAATCCTTTTCATCTAACTTGCACAATTCACTCTGTCCAGTTACAGAATTAATCTATAAATACTGGATTTTGTCCAAATGGTGAAAATGGCCAGAATGGCAATTCCAGAATAGCAATTCTCACACTTACTAATGCCAATTCTAGTCGAAAGTTGGTCATTCGGTCGAACGTTTCAGTGTCTGGTTTAAAATCAATGTGTTTGGCATCTGACCCCTATGTAAAATACAGGATTTGAATATGTACAAAAGGGTACATTTAAACTGAATTAGGACTGAATGCATCCAGCAGGATGTATATTCAGAAATTATCGCAAGTGAACGATAATTTGAAGTACTATTAAAAACCTCTCAGCGGCACAAGGGTTAATCATGTGACTTGCTATTCAACGCCACATTAAAAATTAAAACATTTTTTAAAAGAAACTTAAACCCTATATTGCTGTAAATGAGCTTTTAAACCTCCCTTATGCCCCACCTTCCATGTCTACTAAAGAGTGAGCAGCCACTGAAGCTAAACTAATATTGCCCAGTCGCTAATAAGACCCGATCCAGTGTGGGGAACATCCTATTTTTTCACCCCATCCATTGCCAGTGGGTGTTTATTATTAGCAGGGGAGGCCACATGAGTGGGGCCTGGTGGGATGTTAGGTCCCTCTGGGTTATAATACAATTAGTAGCCCCCACCACCCATGGAGCAGGGCAGAACATAAGAATCATGTCCACACAGTATGGGGACTTGACTGCTCACTGTTTTGGTAGGTTTAAAATCTCCATTATGCTATTAAAAATGTCATGACCCTTTTGTTCCGGCTGAAATCCAGACCAAATTCAGGCTTATTCGAAGTCTTACACTGTTAAGTGTAAACAATGTACGGATTTTGCAGTATGAATGGTACCACAGAGCAGCAAATGGTTTTGCCCCATTCAATATGGGGCCATTATGATTTTAGTGAATAACCCTGTTAGTTTCCCTCTTGCACATCTCTACATCCCATTTAGGTTTCTCACTATTATTTAATTTCCAACCTTGTCCATCACAATTCTCTGTAGGTCAATGATGTGGTTGCCAGGGGTAAATTAAGTTATTGAGATATATCATCTTCTACAGCCACTTCTGTTATCATTATAGTGTGTCGCATGGTGCTCATCCAACTCTAATGCAGGATACAACTACAATATAAGCCTCCATGCTGAATCTCATTGCTCCTGCACAGTACATATAGAATGTCTCAATTTCCTCACAGTGTTGCAGTGTATGAATTTCTGCCTTTAAGGCCCCCCAGCTACATCCATATTTTAATGGCTCTCAAAGTCTGGTGTTTAAAAAAAACAAACTACAAAATGTATATGAATACATTTCTTTCAAATAGTAACAACTTTACAAAATGTGCTAAAAAATATTTGAAATGAGTCTGGAAAT